TACAAGACTTTTAATGCCTGAACATCGGCCGGCAGATGGCTATGGGTATAGTAGGCGGCTATAGAGATACCTTCACGCGTTGAGCTATTTTTATGGCCTTTGGCTCCGTAGTTTACCACGCATCGGAATGCCATTACCGCCATTTTTTACATTTTATTTGTTGTCCGGCGAAGAATTATCGGCAAAAACCGAATTGTTGGTATTAAGCGATAATAGAGTGCGGCCGCAAAAAGCATTAAACGCGTCTCTTTGGCGGGTTAATTATCGTCGAATTGTTTGCATAACGCGTGACGTGTCGTTTTTAACAAAGCAGGGAGGAGGTATTACCTTTAAAGGAATGCCGGGAGATTTTTATAAAAACTGATAATGTCAAATACAAAAATTATAAAAGGTATTTTGATTATACGAATCTTTTAAACCAGTAATGCCGCTGTACAGAGTGTCCAATTTTAGTTGCAAATGAGGGTTCTGGGTTATCTCGCTTATTAATAAAGATATAATTTTGCGGTTGTCGCGAATCTGAGTTATTTTTTTTGCCGCAAATAAAATTGTTATGGTCTTCCACAATACAGAGTGATCTTGAAAACGTTGCAATTTCAGACACCGAAACCGAAATACAGGATACTCACAAACAGGACCGCAGATCAAAAAAAAAACTAAAATCCTGTAAAATACCGGATGAATCAGCTTTGTATAGCACATTATATATACAGTATCCGGCAATAGTGCGTCGGGCATCTGTAGGTCCCAAAATAAAAAAAACTTAGCAATTTTGTTTAAGTGCAAACCTAAAGTATGTATTTCAGGCAAATAATTTAACCTCTACAGGGTGACTCAAAAAAGTGTGAGTGGATCAGGATGGTTTTTTCTTAAGATATTTTTAAATAAGTTTTGATAGTGTCAGAGATAAATAAAAAAAAATAAAAAAAATATCTTTTTCAGCCTTTTTTAAAAAAATTATTAAAAATACAAGAACTGTCCTGAAATCAAAACTATATTAGGTGTTTACTTTAGATGGTCTGTACTTACTTTGCTATAAATCTCGTAATCTTAAATCATACAGGGTGTTGAAAATTCTACCCGAAACTTTTTAAAGTATAAAATATTTTTTCTTCGTTATTTTAAATGGAACATCCTGTATATTATTCTTTTAATAGATGGAGAGTTAAATATAAAAATTTTTAACGGCTTCGCAGATACTCGCGGCTCGCGGTATTATTTCATATGGCTCTTTCAACGGTAAAATATAGAGAAAAATCTATTGGTTTTGGGTGGCTTTAATAAAAGTTTATTATGGAAAATGCCACATGAAATATAAAATCGCGATATTTTACAAAATTCTAATAAATTATTAAATATTTGTATGCCCATTATACAAAGATGGTTGATAATCTACACATATAAAATGCTAATGTTTATCTGTGTCGTCTCTACTGAAGTAACGACTTGCTCTAGAAAATTGCTTTTTTTACTAAAAGGGAGCTAATTGGCTTTTCTATTTTTATGTATTGTATTTTTTTTCCTGGTGTGTCGTGGCGGATGCGCCAGGCTTCAACTAGTTAATTTATAAAAATATACCTATAAGAGAAACTGCCCGTTTTAAAATTATAAAACTTTCCTTCACCATTTTGTCAAGATAGTAAAACTATATCTTGATAAAACTTCTGTTCAATGGAAAAAGAATTTATTTTAAATTTTATATTTCTTATGCACAATCAGGAGTTATTATTAATTTTTAAATTAAATAAAGAGTAATATAACTGTAATGATATTCAACAAAATTTCAAGAATGTCACCTAAGAAGCAAATATATTTAAAAAATATATTATATATATATATATATATATATATATATATATATATATATATATATATATATATATATATATATATATATATATATATATATATATATATATATATAGTAAAAATGAAAATTGAATATCGACCGTACTGTTTTAAAGGATTGTTTGGATTATTTTCAGGTTGGCGGTCAGTGACTCAAAAACTTATTTGTTTATGTCTCAATATTTCGTAAATCTTTATTTACTTCATCAGGAGATATAAAAACTAAAAGTCAGTCGTATCTTACAATATACACATTCATTACACCAATAATATACTTTCAGTTATAAAATTTTTCGGACAAAACAGACCTACACTGCCATGGTGTTTAAGTTACAATGAAACTGAGTTTTTCAGTCAGTTTCATTGTAACTTAAACACCATGCAGTGTAGGTCTGTTTTGTCCGAAAAATCGAGAATCTGTTATATCTAAAAAGCTATCAAAATTATATTCCAGAATACGAGTTGGAAACTGTTTTACACTTATACAGGGTGAGTCAACGATCGAGTAAAGTCCATTATCTCATTTGTTTCGAGGTTTATAAAAAAAGGTAAATATAAAAGTTATAGGGAAGGTTAAGATACATATAGTAATCGCAAAACAATTTCCGATGCACGTGATCAACTTTGAGTGACAAGCGATGGCGACAGCGCTGCCAGATTGTGATGGAGTTATGAGATGAATCTTAATTCAGAAGTGACAAACAATATACAGGGTGGCGCACCTCATTCGCCTCGGTTGATTATACGAAAACGGAAAGATGTAGAAACAAAATATTTTATGAGTATATGTGGGGAGGCAATGTGTACAATTTAAAATTGTTTTGAAAAATACAGGGTGTCTCAGAACTAAGATCCATACCAAAGTTATATTTTTTCTTAGGGAACACCTGGTATTTTATTTAATTTTTGGATTCTCAGGCCCAACAAAAGGCATTTATTATAAGGGTTAAATATGTTTAAAATCTTTGGTTTTTGAGACATTTAAATATGTTTAAATTTGCATGCTATAATAGAATAGATTATTAATACCCTGTACATTACTTTTCAGAATTAATTCTTGTGCTGAGTTTAAAGGTAGAGAAATAAACTTTACTGAAAAATTGCTTTCTTAAATTTATACAGGGCTATCAAAAGTTGCTGATTTATTTGAAGGATGTATTTTATATAAAAACTTTGTTATTTCAAATGCAACACTCTGTATTTTTTTAAATAAATCGAAGCAGATTCAAATGCTCTTTCAAACTATATTAGGGTTTCCTATACCTATCTAGCTCAGATTTTGAATAAAAAACAATTATTAAATTAAATTGCAATCAAGATGGCTGGTGTTGCAATAGCAATTTTCTAGTGATAGTTAGTAACTCTAAATATTTTAAGTCTTTCTAAGTCGACATTAGTTTATACACATTATTATTTATAATTTATAACAGTCTACTTAGATTTACCTACAATAGTTTAGTAAGTAAGTATTCATTATTTTATTAAGAAAAATAAAGCAGTATTTGCTGGCAGAACGAATAGATATGTTACTAGTGATTTTTTTTTGTGAGGAAAATTGCTTCTTGGCCACAGGGGCTTATGCTCAAAGATATACAAATAGGGATCTTTCTGATAAGCGTTCCTTTGAAAAACTACTGGTCCTATTATTTCGCAGAGCTGGTAGTGTGGTTTATTAAAAACCTATTAGACAGAAACCTGTCGTTGGAAGTGAAAAAATATGAATTTGCCGTAATTGGATCTTTTATAGAAAATCCATATATCTACAAGTCGTCGTAAAATAAATCAAAGATCTACTTCTTCGTTTTTCTTGATAGAATAATAAATACATGTTTAATAAATATTATTTATTATATTATTAAATAAAAGTAAACTGGTGTAAACTTAAATAAGCCTATAAATTAATTTCGATTTTGAAAATAGCTAAGAACTGTCACTAGAAACTTGCCATGACGACACTAGCCCTCTTGGTTGCCATTTTATTGAAAAAAAATGCTCTTTATTCAAAATCTGAACTAGATAGGTATAGGAAACCCTAATATAGCTTGAAAGAGAATTTGAATCTGCTTCGATTTATTTTTTTTAATAAAAAAAATACAGGGTGTTGTATTTGAAATAACGCAGTTTATATGTAAAGTAAATTCTTAAAATAGATCATAAATTTTTGATACCCCTGTATAAATTTAAGGAATCAATCACATTTTTCTGTAAAGTTTATTTCTGTGCCTTTAAACTCAGCACAAGAATTAATTCTGAAAAGTAATGTATGGGTGTTAATAATCTATTCTATTGTAGCATGCAAATTTGGATATCTTTAAATATCTCAATAACCAAAGAATTTAAACATATTTAACCCTTATAATAAATGCCTTTTTTTTGACCCAAGAATCCAAAAATAAAAAAAAACCGGGTGTTCCATAAGAAAAAATATAACTTTGGTATGGATCTTAGTTCTGAGACACCCTGTATATTTCAAAATAATTTTAAATTATGCACATGGCCTCCCCACATATACCCATAAAATATTTTGTTTCTATATCTTTTCGTTTTCGTATAATCCTTGTTTATATATTCTTAAAGTTGGTCAACCTCTTGACAAAATGTGCTGCCTCTGGTGAACAAATCGTAAAGCTTTAAAGGAATGAAGCATGTGATTAGGGGCGGAGTCAAAATATCGATTATTTGCGGTATTTCCCTCAGAGTAATGTAATAATATAGCCTCGGATTTTTGCGAACTATAATAGAGCTCAGCTGATTAAGAAATTTAAACAAAACTATTATTTCATTGTTGATTTTCGATTATTTTTGCTGTTATTTTAAGGATTCTAAACCGTATTTAACAAAGAAATAACAATTTTCAATATGTTGGTACATTAATGCTAATTACTGGTAATTATTAATATTTAAAAAAAGTTACATACCTACACTTACTTTATTTCGATTTGACCCAGGGCTATAAAATTTTATTTCATTCTTCGATCATTTTATTCTAAATTGAGGTTTTACGAATTTAAGATAATTTTTTTTTGAAAACAAAACGTTTATACATTCTTGATTAATTTTTTTCTTAATTAAAAATAAAACTTGGCACTTGTTTCAATAATATTATTTGATCGCGCGGAAATCCAATAATTAAGAATTTTACCAGTTTTGATCTAGTTTTTTCGTGTAACTTGGTAGTGATTGAATAGTACCTGTTGCTTATTGTTCAATTTATGTAAGTATTATTAAAAACTAATGCTTTCGAGGTTTTGATCGATGTGTTAAGTTTATAGGTTATGTTGAAAAAAAAGTGTCCATGAGTTAATAAACAGAATTTCTGTGAGAAGGTTAAGAGTACGCGTTCTAAGAGTACGCATGCGTACTCTTAGCTGGATGCGTGCTCTTAGCCTAATATGCGTACTTTTTACCTGTTAGAATTTTCATAGCACAGTTTTAAAGTATGTTTTATTATTTTAGATCGATATGGGTAAATATCGACGCAAGACTGATAGGAAGTTAATATTTACGGCAGAACTATTAGAACAAGTAAAGGAGAAACTGCTGCAAGGAATGAGTAAACGCTCAATAGCAGATTCAATCGGCGTACATGAAGCAACATTAAGAAAACGGCTAAAAGCAGGAACGGTGCCTACATCACTGGGTCGCTTCAAATTAGTTTTTACCCCAGAAATGGAAGAGGAACTGGCTATTTATTGTAGAGATTTAGATAAAACATTCTATGGGCTCACACTTAAGGCACTTGGTAACTTGGTTTTTGAGTATGCCGAAAGAAATAACTTAAACCACAGATTTAATAAAGAAAAAAGATCGGCCGGAAAAGATTGGGTGTACTCATTTTGTAAGCGTCATAAACTTAGTTTACGTGTTCCAGAAAAAACAAGCCTTGCTCGCGCTGCTGGCTTTAATAGGCCTCAAGTAGAACTGTTTTTCAGAAACCTAAGACAAATCTTGAATGAGAAAAAAATACTGCCGCACCGTTTGTACAACATGGATGAATCTGGTATCCTAACCGTGCCCAACAAATTACCCAAGGTTGTAGCTCCCAGAGGGAAAAGAACTGTAGGAAAAATCGTTTCATCTGAGAGGGGCCAGTTAATAACTGCGGTGTGTTGTATGGGAGCAACTGGACAATACATTCCACCTGCACTGGTTTTTCCACGAAAGAGACTGAAAGCTGAGCTAACTGATAGAGCTCCAGCAGGGACACTCCAGCTTGTTTCAGACTCGGGATTCATCACTAGCGAGCTCTTCCTGAGATGGCTGGATCATTTTCAAACATTTTGCAAAAGCTCAGTTGAAGACCCAGTTTTACTCGTTTTAGATAATCATTCGAGCCATGTCAGTTTACAAGCAGTTATGAAATGTCGCGGGTTGGGTATTAACATGTTAAGTTTACCTCCCCATTGTAGCCACAAAATCCAGCCACTGGATAAAAATTTTTTCGGACCACTGAAAAGCGCTTATGCCGAAGAATGCGACAAATGGCATGTCAATAATCCGGGGCGACCAATTACTATGTTTCAAATAGCTGAATTGTTCGCAAATGCCTACAGTAGAATAGCATCAATTGAAAGAGCGATAAAAGCTTTTGAAATATGCGGTATTTTTCCATATAATCCGCATGTGTTTTCGGAAGAAGAATTTGCACCCGCTACAGTGACAGATCAACCATTTCCAAACCAAAACTCCAGTGCAGAAAATTCGAATCCGAGAGCAGAAGATGAATACGACAGTGATGAAGATTTACCCTTATCAGTTCTTCAGCACAAACTGATGGAAAACATTCCGACAAAGACTATACTCCCAACACCTGTATCAAGGTCACCAAATTCACCGCCTTCAACGCCACTAGAAAAGTTGGCCCACTCTCCACTGCCCTCAACATCTTCTCGGGGAAAGCAAACACCATCACCAACACTAAGGGTACGAAATTCACCGCCTTCCACACCACCAGAAAATTCCACCAACTTTATCTCGCCGAAATTAATAAAACCACTACCAAAAGCACTACCAAGAGCTGCCAATGCCCGCAAGAAGAAGAAGTCTGTACTGCTAACTGCGTCACCGTACAAATCTGAGTTAGAAGAGCTCCAAGCATGCAAGCAAGCCAAAACCCAAAAATTCAAACAGACGAAACGAAAATATATGGACGAATTAAAGAGTCCGGAGTCTATAAAATCACAAAATCAAATCAGCAAAAAATCACTAAATTCACCTTCAAACCAAAAACAGATTTTGTGTCCGGTTTGCTATGAAATATATGAAGACCCCCCTGAAAGTGATTGGATTCAGTGCATGACATGTAAAAATTGGTTCCATGAGGACTGCACTGCTTACTCTGGATTAGGGTACTACATATGCCACATCTGTGATGATTCTGAAGATTGAGACAGTGTGCGTACTCTTAGAAGATCATATGCGTACTCTTAAACTGCAAGTCTGCTAAGAGTACGCATTTACAGATGTGTCAAATTGATTTTTTTTCTAATATACTTTTATGCTGTATTTCTTATTCCCGTGTGAAACATTTATTTAAAACCTTTAAGTTTATTATAATATTTTTAAATTGTTCTTAGCTTTCATATTTTGACTTATATAAACAGTTTACTGAGGATTGCGTATTCTTACCCTCCATTCCCCTACACTTACTTTATTTCGATTTGACCCAGGGCTATAAAATTTTATTTCATTCTTCGATCATTTTATTCTAAATTGAGGTTTTACGAATTTAAGATAATTTTTTTTTGAAAACAAAACGTTTATACATTCTTGATTAATTTTTTTCTTAATTAAAAATAAAACTTGGCACTTGTTTCAATAATATTATTTGACATTTAAATAAATATTATATACTTAATACAACATTTAAATCTTTATTAAACGAAATAAATCTTTCTTAGCGTAAAACATGGTCAGAGTCAAGTTTGCTTTAACTTTGTACCATATGAAAAAAAAAACGGCGTCCAGTTAGCAGGGAAATGACGATCGACGACATTTCCCACATAAATTTACATATAAAATGACAGCGATCTTCATTTCATAGCCATCGCTGACGCCGTTTATTTTCGATCAAGAATTATAAAAACTGAAAATATCATTATGTTTTAACTCACAAAGCCCGTTATAACATAAAACTTTCTAGTATATTGTTTTATTAGGAGTAAAAATGACACTTTTCGTGGCGAGACTGTAGGTTTGACATACAGCCGAAGCACAATATTCGTATATTCAACTACCAGAAAAGTAGAAGGAAGATTATAATGTATCTATCACAATATTTAAAAGAACTACTACAATAATTATTAGAAGAAAAACAAAAAGAAAAAATTACCCAAATACCTTCACCTTCTACTCAACTACATAATAAATGAATATAATCTCTTACAAGAACACTACACAAACTACTTCTTGTATTCTACACTAAACAAATTATCAAACTTATTAATTAATCAAACATAAAGAAAAATTAACCAAATTACCCCTTCACCTACTACTTAACTTAACACAAAATAAAATATAAAAACACTACTAAATTTCTTCTGGTAGTCTACTAAACATTATAATCAAACTTAATAAATTAATCTAATTTTACATTACAACTACAAAGAAACAAGAAGATATTTTAAAACTACAAGAAATAAAACTTCGATACGTGCGACCAGTATAATAGATCAAGCGGACAAAGGATATAAAATACTTTAAAATGTGCGTTCAGAAAGAAAAAATATCTCGAAAATTATCTAAACAAACATTTTTTTTTCTTATCAGTGAAAAATATCGACCTCGTCGGCCTTGCGGAATTTGTCGGGTATTTATAATGGTCGAATTGTATAATTACCAGCTTTTATAGCATATCTAATAGACAAAAAGTATCTGGTCGATTAGTAACCAATTGGCACAGTCCGAAAATTATCGATTTTTATTTTGTCTGTTTTTATTGGCCGCTTCAAAATTCAGAGTAACAAAAAATATTTTTCTCTAGTAAAAGACTGTGAAATACGCCCCGCCATCTGGTGCTTTACATCCATAAACGTCTTAGGTTGAGCTACTTTAAAAATTCATATACAAGGGTATAATCAACCGAGGCGAATGAGGTGCGCCACCCTGTATTTATTATATAATTTTTTAAAAATTTTTACGTTTAATTTTAATTTAATAACTAATCTGGTTCCCTTTTACTACTTGTTTTACCAGACTAAAGGGATCAGTATTTCTTATCGGAAGAACAAATAAATATCCTCTTTCTGTAGATTTGTCACCAAATGTACTTTCATCCAATTTGACAATTTAATACATATTGCAAAACAACTTTTTTTAATAACTAATTTTCTCAGCAAAATAAAAATCCAAGTGTAGTTCTGGAGAAACAACCCACAATAACAATGCCCCTCTCCTCTTACGCTTTCCCACCGGTCCGGATGAAAAAATGAAAAACTCGGACCGGGAATGCTAAGCTTTCCTTTCTTTCGTTCCCTACAATCATTAAAGCGGGAATCTCGAGCCGAAAGAGTGCGGACGGCGAAAAGAACAATATAGAGCCCTAGAAAGAAGAAAAAAACGAAGAAATAGTTTAATAATAATTGCGCCGGGGTGCCGAGATAAATCCATAGGCGGCACGTATGCGGGCAGAGTTCATTTGAATTAAAATTCCAAAATATAAAAATATATATTTGTTTCGCTTGGCTAGTTTATTTAGGGTGCGCCAAAAAATATATTTTTTTTCTTTTTCGTTATCGTGAAAATATCGTTCGAGATGATGAAAAAAAATTCTGATATATAGTATGAGCTCTTAATATTAATATTCGCCCCATCGTGATTTTTTTTAGAATTTTAGAATTTAGAATGAGTGGGAGGGGGGTTAATCACTGCGACCTTACAGATCCATTGTGTCCCCCTTTCTTGAGTCATAACTCATCATACAGTAGTCCCAGGGCTTTGACAGTTGTACCAAAATTCATGGCACGAATGGTTGTCGTCTCGGCGCACTCAGTAATGAGGTGTACTGGTGTTTCCCCATCTTCCCCACAGAATCTGCATTCGCCGTTTCTTCTTAGTTTCAATCTACTGAGGTGTTCATTGAGGAGACAGTGTCCTGTTAAAAACCCCGTGACAATCCGAAGATTGTTCTTACTTAAACCCAGGAAGATCTGTGATTTTTTTTTTATCATAAGCCCTCAGAAACTTCTTCGAGTGTCTTAGACCGTTGCAAGATTTCCATTCCAGGTTGCGGATGGAATCTTCCAAGTTCTTGTCCCATCGTGATATATATTCTTTAAGAAATTGAATCGGCCTTCAAAAAAAGTCTGATATGAATTTTCATTTAATCGACTCGTTTGAAAGTTATTGAAGATTAAGTTTAACTTCAAATCGTATATGATATCAATTTTTTATATTTTACCAAGAAATAATCGATCAAAAAGATAAAATATTATATTTTATGTTGCCATTATTTCGTGATAAAATATAAAAATACTAGCGTGTACCAGCGACTTCGTTCGCGTCGAATTAATCATTTGTAATGGTGATGATAAAGCAAAGCAAGAATTTCCATTAACATACAAACTGGATAAAATTTTCTCACATTTATGTCAGCATGAGAAAAAACAATATGGCGATATTATTATATAACTTGGTAATATTTGAGGGGTAGTTTCATCTCGTTGGAATTTGACTTTCGAAAAATCCGTTTTCCAAAAATAAGTTTTTTACTTCAGGCAGTTTAAGCAGAATCGTGGTTAAGAAATTACCCAACTTTTTGGAACACCCTGTATAATTTTTTAAAAATTTAAAAATATGTAAAAAACAAATAAATTATGCTTGTCCAAGCGTTTTCTCGAAAGACTAACCGTTTTTTAAATAACAAATATTGTAATATTTGAAGGGCGTTTTCATCCTCTTGGAATTTGAGATTCGAGAAACCCCTCCTTATCGAACCTCTACACCCCACAGTCAATCCGTTTGCCAAAAATCAACATTAAACGTCAAGCAGTTTAAGCAGAATCGTGATTACTCAATGGTGATATTTTATGAAACACCCTGTATAAATTTATAAAAAATCTTAAAATATGTAAAACAAAAAATAAAATATATGTGTTTAAGAGTTTTTCCGAAAAACTCATCGGTTTTTTAAAAAAAAATATTTTAATAGTTGAGGGATAGTTTCACTCCCTGAGAATTCGAGTTTCGAAAAATCCCTTCTTATTGAACCTCTACACCCTAAAGTCAATCTGTTTTCCAAAAATCAGCTTTTTACGTCAAGCGCTTTAAGCAGGATCGTGATTAATCAATGACCAGATTTTTCGAAACACCCTGTATACATTTTTAAAAAATTATATTATTATTATTGATAGAAAACCTACGAATACAACAGAAATAGCAGGTTTCGAAGTTGTAGATCAATAAATATACAAAATAAAACACTAAATCACCACAATACACCAAAACACTTTTACTTTTACACTGGATGCGCGTTTCGCTAACCATGCACTGTAAAAATCAGCCTGAGTGAACATATATTTCTCAGGGAGTGAATTTTTTGAGTGAAATAATTGAGTACATTTTCATCTAAAATAGAGTAAATTCTTAAGGCTGTACTTAAACTGCCGTTAAACGGTAGCTTACTAAAATGCCGTTAATAGGTATGACGTCGTTGATGTGACGCACTTGACGGCTTTATGAAATATAGAAATTTTATAAGGACTAACCAACACTATCCACCCCACCAAATAACCAACTTAACCAACGCAACTAATCTCGACACTGATAAACAAATATAAAATACAAATATAAATTACTAAAAACCAACCAACCCCATCAAATAACCAACTAACCAATAAATTAACACCCTCCAAATAACCACGCTAACCAACCCGCCAAATCAAACCAAAAAAAGTGAAATCAATGCAATAAGATCACGCTATAAGCAAAAAAAAATATAAAAAAGTCTTGGTTGGCGTGAGATTTGAACCACGGACCATTCGCACACGAAGAAATAATAGCCTCAGCCACGGAGCCAGAGGTGCTTTTGCAAAATGCTTATAGGTAGGCATTACTTTCCGCCGACATGAACGACGTCACAATATCTATTAACGGCATTTTAGTAGGCTACCGTTTAACGGCTGTTTAAGTACATCGAATTCTTAATTTTACTCAAATATCATCTCTATTTAATCAATAGCGATTGAATAAGCTCATGTTCGAGTTATAACCCCTATCTTTGAGTAAGATAATAGAAAAATTTACTTAAAAACTCATGTTATAGTTTAACACAGTAAAAATTTGAGTGAAATCTCCCAGTTTAGGACAAAAACATGACTATTTTAACATATTTGTTCCAATTTTACCACTATCGTTTTTCAATAAAAAATACCGTCCAAACACATCGACCCTCCCCAATCGCCGCTTCTGCTCTCCAAAGAAACGGAGAGCTTCAACAACGGCCATCCCCCCTTCACCCCCCGACCACCCTCAATCATTTTCAATATGAAATTTTTATGTATTGATCGGCGTGCCGGGTTTTTTAGCCCGACATTGGCGTCGGCAGCGTCGATGAGCCCCGGACAAAGACAGAACGATACACTCCCCAATAAGATAGAGCGAGATAAACTTACCTACCCC